AAAAAGATCAAAAAGAGCTCCAAAAAGGTCAAAAATACCTCCAAAAGATCAGAAAGAGCTCCAGAAAGACCAAAAGAGCTCCAGAAAGGTCAAAAAGAACTCCAAAAAATCAGAAAGAGCTCCAAAATATCAAAAAGAACTCCAAAAAGGTCAAAAAGACCTCCAAAAGGACAAAAAAAAAGACCTCTAGAAGGTCATAAAGAGCTCCAAAAAATCTAAGAGTTCCATAAGATCAAAAAGAGCTCCAGAAACACCAAAAGAGCTCCAAAAAGAGCTCCAAAAAGAGCCTTCAAAAGGACAAAAAGACCTCTAGAAGGTCATAAAGAGCTCCAAAAACTCAGAGTTCCATAAGATCAAAAGGAGCTCCAGAAACACCAAAAGAGCTCCAAAAGTAGCTCCAAAAAGACCTCTAGAAGGTCATGAAGAGCTCCAAAAAATCAAAGAGTTCCATAAGATCCAAAGGAGCTCCAGAAACACCAAAAGAGCTCCAAAAAGAGCTCCAAAAGGAGCCTTCAAAAGGACAAAAAGACCTCTAGAAGGTCATGAAGAGCTCCAAAAAGACCAAAAGACCTCTAGAAGGTCACAAAGAGCTCCAAAAAATCTAAGAGTTCCATAAGATCAAAGGGAGCTCCAGAAACACCAAAAGTAGCTCCAAAAGGACAAAAAGACCTCTAGAAGGTCACAAAGATCTCCAGAAAAGACAAAAGGAGCTCCAGAAAGGTCAAAATATCTCCAAAATATCAAAAAGAGCTCCAGAAACACCAAAAGAGCTCCAAAAGGAGCCTCCAAAAGGACAAAAAGACCTCTAGAAGGTCATAAAGAGCTCCAAAAAGACCTCTAGAAGGTCACAAAGAGCTCCAAAAAGACCTCTAGAAGGTCCCAAAGGTCTCCAGAAAGGAGGAGAAGCGCATTTTCCGTGGTTTCGGGCCCTGCTGGACTCTGTGACTGTGTTGCTCTCTCTTGCTTTGTGCTAATCGTGGAGGGCAGGCTCAGAAGAGGAGGTACAGCCCTGGAAACCAGGTACTGCCTCCTGCTGTCCCACCTGGAGCTCCCCGTTCCCACCTCCAGGAACCCCGGCAGAGGCTGCATGGACACGGAATGGGGGCTCGGTGCTGGACTGGTGGGAGACGATCCCGAGGGATGGACCTTGGGGTCATCCCGGTGGTGTTTGAGGAGATTTTGGGGGTTTGGGATCTCCAGGAGTGGAGTTTGGGGTCATCCCAGTTGTTTCTGAGATCCTTG